GTCCTTCACCCTCATGCACACTTTCCCAAGGTTTTTTGAAGCATAATTTTTAAAGTCAAATATTCCATATTTTCCCATTGGCACCTTTGTAAGTGAGTCTTCTATGCTCTTCTCTGGCAAAAAGGCCTTCAGTGTAATGAGAAGTCAAAGCTGAAAATTATGAAAATAAAAATTTATTCCACACATTAGACTCAGGTGAATATTCTTTAAAAATCAAACATAATATTATACCATGCTAGGGACATAAGTATGATGGTGAGTACAAATCATAGGTTTCTACTCCTTCATAAATATGTGTACTTAACAAAATACCACATTGCCTCTATGAGAACTCAAAAAACAACTAAGAATTTGCAGAATCCCCAGTGAGCACAATGTTAAAATGAGTTACATGGAAGAGGAAGTTTAGTAATTTTGTCACCATAATCTCTCTTCCTTCACAATACAGCATGAGGCAAATAGATGAAACCTTCTAACTCTTGATTTCTTCCTCAGGGAGTAAACAAAAGAGTGGAGCATGAGTCCACACTACTGCCCTTTGGGGGTTTACTCAATGACTGGCTCCGTCCCAACTTACAGAGAAGAAAAATCCTAAGACAGGTATGAGAGCCTCCTAGAATTTCTAACTTAGTGATTGGTGTCACACTTATCTAGACAAAGCAACTTCATAAGCATTATGACCTGTGTAACTTTTTCAAATATCCAAATTCAAAGAAAGTATGCCAAACCATAGAAAGAATCACTATGAATGACTCAATTAAGGGCACGACAAAAATAAGATTTTGTGGAGCTGAAAATTACAAAAAAGGCTGAGAAATTTTCAAATGAAATGAAGAAAAATAGGAAAATCAACAAATTTATGGAACTCAAACTACAATAAACAGAAACATACAGTCAGACAATCTATCTTCAAAGTTTTGGGCTGACTGTAATCCCAGTACTGAGGAGGCTGAAGTGAAGGGACCACCTGAGGCAAGGAGCTCAAAGCTGTAGTGAGCCTTACTTGAGCCACCACACTCCTATCTGGGTGACAGAGACCATGGTTGATAAAAACAAAACCTTTAAAACTATTAATCATCTGTGATATTGATATTGGGCTTAGTAATAATTTTTTTATGACTACAGAAATAAAAGTAAATACAAACAAGCTGGAGACATCAAACTAAAAGTTTTCTGCATGGTAAAGGGAAGAGGAAGAAGGTTTACAGGACAAAAAAAATATCTGCAAACCACATAACTGATGAGATGTTAATATCCAAAGTATATAAGAAAATTATACAAATCAAGGGCAAAAACAAGAAAATAATAATCACGAATAAAAAATATCCCCAAAATGAAGTTATTTATCCAATGAGGACATACAAATTGCCAATAGGTGTGTGAATCGGCACTCAACATCACCAATAGAAGCAATTTAAAATAAACACAATGATGGTATGTTATCTCACACCTGTTAGGATAGCTAATATCAACCAGAATACACAACTGTTGATAAGGATTTGAAGAAATCCTGTATACTGGTGGTGAGTTTAAAATTTATAGAGTCAGTTGGGCTCAGTGGCTCAGCCTGTAATCCCAGCATTTTGGGAGACTGAGGTGAGTGGATTGCCTGAGCCCACGAGTTCGAGACCTGCCTGGGCAGCTTGGTGAGACCTCATCTCTACAATAAAATAAAAAATTAGCTGGGTGTGGTAGCGCGCACCTGTAGCTCCAGCTACTTGGAAGGCTGAGGCAGAAGGATCACCGGAGCCAGGCAGGTGAAGGCTGCAGTGGCCAGGAGCAGCCACTGCATTCCAGTCTAGGTGACAGAGTGGGACTTCCACTCAAAAAAAAAATTGATAGAGTCATAAAAATCATTATATAGCTGGGCTTGGTGGCTCAGCCTGTAATCCCGTGCCTTTGGGAGGCTGAGGTGAGTGGATTGCCTGAGCCCGTGGGTTCGAACCCACCTGGACAGCGAGACCTCATCTCTACAATAAATCAAAAAATCAGCCAGGCCTGGTAGCATATGCCTGTAGTTCTGGCTACTCGGAAGGCTGAGGCAGAAGGATCGCCGGAGCCCAGCAGGTGAGGCTGCGGTGGCTGGGAGCAGCCACTGCACTGCACTCCAGTCTGGGAGACTGAGTGAGACTCCAACTCAAAGAAAAAAAAAAAGTATTATCTACATTCATTTAAAAATAAATGTAAACGACCACATAACACAGAAATCCTTTTCCTGTTTTAGGAAAGCAAAGCAAATAAAATCAGTATTTGAAAGAAGTGTCTGCAGCCCTATGTTCACTGTGGCATTTGTCAAAATGACCAAGCTTGAAAACAACCTAAATATTTGTGGATTCTGTACTGATTAGGAAAATATCATATATAAACACAATAGCATATCATTCAACCATAAAAAAATTAAAGAATCCTGCAATTTCAACCTTATGAATGAAACTGTAAGTCATTATGCTAAGTGAAGTCAGTCAGGACACTTTCAAAAATACTGTGTGAGGCTGGGAGTAGTGGCTCAAGCCTGTAATCCCAGCACTTTGGGAGGCTTTGAGAGGACTGTCTGAGCTCAGGGATGCAAGACCATACTAACTTGGTGAGACTTCGTATCTACAATAAATCAAAATTAAGCTGGGCATCATAGTGTCCACCTGTACTTCTAGCTACTTGGAAGCCTGAGGCAGAAGGATTGCCTGAGCCCAGCAGACCATGGCAGCAGTGGCCTTATCCTGGTACTGCACTTCTCTCTGGGTGACATTGAGATTCCATCTTGGGGGGAAAAAAATACTGCATGATCTCATTCATGGGTGGAATTAAAAAATATTGCACTCATATAGGTAGAAAGTAAAATGGTGGTCACCAGGGCCTGCAGGTGGGAAAATTGGCAGATGTTTTTCTTTTTTTTTCTTTTTTTTTTAGTTGGAGTCTCACTCTGTCGCCCAGGCTGGAGTGCAGTGGCATGCTCACGGCCACTACAGCCTTGATTCGTTGGGCTCAGGTGATCCTTCCGCCTCAGCCTTCCAAGTAGCTGGAACTACAGGCACTCGCTACCACGCCCGGCTAATTTTTTGATTTATTGTAGAGATGAGGTCTCGCCAAGTTGCCCAGGTGGGTCTCGAACCCGCGGGCTCAGGCAATCCACTCACCTCAGCCTCCCCAAAGCACGGGATTACAGACTGAGCCACCAAGCCCAGCTGGGAGATGTTTTTCAATGGATACAAAATTTCAATGATAATTAAGTTTTAGGCAACTAATGTATAACATAATGACATAGTTAAGAATGATGTTTTGTTTGTTTAAAAAATTTGCTAAAATAATGGACATTATGTGTTATCCTTGGACAATATAGAAATGGGAACTACAAAAGCTATTGATATGTTCATTACCATAATTATAATCATTGTTTCATAATGTATAGGCATATCGAATTATGACATTATACACAATATATGGTTATACACTTATCTATGTATAAAAATTAGATGTTAATGGCACATCTATAAACACACGTACAGGGTGTACATAAATATGCATATATGTAGACTAGTCCTAATCATCATACTAAACAAAATAAAATTATAAAATGAGTTATTAAGAAGCAAGGTAACATCTGGGAGTTTAATATGTTCACTAATGTTCTACACGATATAGTATACTTAAGAATTTGGATATGTAGAAATAAACTACTAATCTCAGCTCATACTAAAAAAGAAAGATTAAGTAAAATAACAGCATTTATTTTATTAAGAGAGATAGTTTGTGTTCTGGTAGAACTATGGCATATGAATTTAAATAAAATCACATTGGAAACCTCCCTAGGATAGAAAATCATAAAGCAGAAAACATATAACATCTGTGTGAAGTTGTTAAAATTTTTCAATCAAATAACAAAATCACTACTCTCTAACATTTCCAACATGACACAAAAAGAAAACTTAAAAAATAGTTTGACAGCCAGGCTTGGTGGCTCATCCTGTAATCCCGCGCCTTTGGGAGGCTGAGGTGAGTGGATTGCTTGAGCCTGCAGGTTCAAGACCCTCCTGGGCAACTTGGCAAGACATCATCTCTACAATAAATCAAAAAATTAGCCGGGTGTGATAGCGTGTGCCTGTAGTTCTGGCTACTCAGAAGGCTGAGGCAGAAGAATCACCAGAGCCCAGCAGGTCAAGGCTGCAGTGGTCGAGAGCAGCCACTGCACTCCAGTCTGGGTGACAGAGTGTGACTCCAACTAAAAAAAAAAAAAAAAAATGTTTGACTTGGAGATTCTAAATAAATAAGCAGATTTTGCACATCTCCAAAAATATCAGGAAGGTAGTCAGATCATGCAGTCCCTAACATGAATTAAGTGGATTTTGATTTTCTCTATAACCTTGAAATGAAACCACTGAAGAAGAAGCAGAGATTTAGAGAATTTCAGAACATGGAATAATAGATGTCACTTTGTGGAACAAAGGAGAAATAATCTCAGACTTCTTAGAAACCTTTCCCATTGGTGCACACCACCTTCCCTGACAACATTCCAAGCTCTGTGTCATCAACTTGTGTCATCTGGCTCATTCAATCCCACCTATCTGAAGTTTTTCCTAATGTGCTGCATCTCCTCACATCCCAGGGCTGTGTCCTTTGCTCCAGACATGTGATCAGGTCTGGCTTAGAGACAGCAAGTCCTGTTTTATTAGAAAAAAAGTAACATGATCATTACTGGGGTTCCTCAATTACAAACCTAATATTGAGCTCTGTAGGGATGAGGTCTTGCCAAGTTGTCCAGCCTGTTTGAGAGTCCACGGCCTCAGGCAATCCACTCACTTAGGCCACCTATAGTGCTAGGATTACAGGCTTGAGCCACCGCTCCCTGACTTAAATGTGTGGGTTCTTATCTCAGTATTAGTGAGTCAAAAACTTATGGCAGCAATTCGATTGAGGTGTGGGCAACGATATTCTTTGTGAATAAATTTCTGGACTTACCACTAATACAGATAGAAGGACACAGGTCAATTCAAAATAGAGAATGCTTCATGTGAAAGTGAAACATCTTTAATATTTTTTATGTTAACAAATCACCAATTTTTCTTTGATAGTAGAAAACTGAAACTCATTCGTACAAAGCAGAAATTCCCAGGAAACATTCTACAAAGAAAGGATATGAAATTCTAGGTATGAAATAGGGATTGTGTTTTAAGACAGTACTCGCCTAGAAAAACCAGGTCTCTGTGGTTCTCTAACATCACCATCTGTCCTTTGTGTCCTTGCTGTGATCATTGCTACAGGGCTTGTTTCTGCTATATCTTGAGATTGACATTTAAGCTATAAAATTTTATAGCCTTTGCTTATCTCTTTTATTAGCCTTTGCTTATCTCTTTGTAATTGGAGGTCTGTTTCATCAGGTTCCTCCTGTGATTTACTAGTTTTTAACAATGAGGGATGTAAGGCCTCCAAGCCTACAAATCCTCTGGACTGTATGTTAAGGAGCTTCTCTGTCAGGTTCACAGGGAATTGCTTTAACAATACCCGCTGAGTAGGGTCCAGGCATTCCCACTCCTCTGGAGAGAATTCTATGGCCACATCCTTCAATGTCAAGAGCTCCTGAAAACAAGAACAACAACACATATTTACCAATTGACCATGCCTCTAGGTACAGCAAGCATGAAGAGAGCAGGATCCAGCTTGAAACATCTATCTGCAAAACCTAAAACAACCTATAATAGTTTGCTTGATGGTTCAGCCTGTAATCCTAGCATGTTGAGAGGCTAAGGTGAGAGGATTACCTGAGCCCTTGGGTTTGAGACCCACCCAGGCAACTTGGTGAGACCTGTCCCTACAATAAATAAAAAATTAGCCAGGCATGGTAGCATGCACCTGCAGTCCCAGCTACTTGGATGACTGAGGTGGAAGGATCACAGGAGCCCAGCAGGTCAAGGCTGCCGTGGTTGGGAACGTGCAACTGCCCTCCAGCCTGGGTGACTCCAACTTAAAAAAAAAAAAAAAACTTGCTTGACATAAGTAACTCCATTTTGTAACAGATCCTTCATGTTAACCTAAAAATAACCCCCTTACATAATCTTCCTGTAATTACACTGCACACCCACATTTCTATTCCCTTGGTGCTTGGAAGCTCCCTAGTACAAATTCTGTAACCATCCATACCCCTTCATAATTGAATGTATTGCCAAGAAATATTAATCAAACTGTACAGCTTATATAATTTCTGCCTCTAATCATTCTGTTCAGGCTGAGATTTTTTTGGATACTAGTCTGCTATCAGTTGCATCAATAAAGGACTCATAGCTGGGCTTGGTGGCTCAGCCTGTAATCCCGTGCCTTTGGGAGGCTGAGGTGAGTGGATTGCCTGAGCCCACGGGTTCGAGACCCGCCTGGGCAGCGAGACCTCATCTCTACAATAAATCAAAAAATCAGCCGGGCATGGTAGCACATGCCTGTAATTCCGGCTACTCGGAAGGCTGAGGTGGAAGGATCGCAGGAGCACAGCAGGCGAGGCTGCGGTGGCTGGAAGCGGCCACTGCACTCCAGTCTGGGTGACAGAGTGAGACTCCAACTCAAAAAATAAATAAATAAATAAAGGACTCATAATTCAACCCTCTCTGTGTGTTGGCATCCTTTCTCACAATCCGGCTATAACGTTTGGAGGCCCCAGTGAAATGAGTTGCCAGCCTTGCTCCAGCTCTCCCTGGCTTAGTGGGAAGGTGTAGAGGAAGCACTCCTGCAATGTTCCAGGACCCCATAACATCTTCTGTAGCTCAGAGGAAGTTGTAATGACTACGCACTTCACATTGCTTCAAAATTCCTGAGTACATCTGTGTTCTCCTGAAGGTAAGAGTCTGTTTAATCTGTATGTGGCCACAACTCTGTTAAGGAGGATGGAGTCTGAGGAGACTGCTCCTTAGACTCTATTCATTGATGCAAGAGATTGGTAGAACATTGTCTCCGTTTAGTATCTGGTTTGTTTGCAGTGTCTCGGTTTAGTTACTGATTTCTTTTTAGGTATGCACTTTGACTTCTGATTGCTTATGACATTGGCCCCTTTCTGTTCTTTGTGACCTTGCTGTGATCTTTGCTACAGGGCTTGCTTCTGCTACACCTTGAGATTGACATTTAGGCTATAAACTTTTATTAGCCTTTGCTTATCTCTTTAAAATTGGAGGTCTGCTTTTTATCAGGTTCCTCCGGTGACTTACTGGTTTTTAACAATGTGGAGTGTAAGGCCTCCAAGCCTACAAATCCTCTGGAATGTAAGTTAAGAAAATTCTCTGTCAGGTTCACAGAGAATAACTGAGTATGTTTCTCAGAGAACAAGCTCCAGACCCTCTGTGATATCAATTGGTAATGTTGGATGGCTCTCTAGAGGGTTTCTGGATGTTCATGTTACTCGAGTTGAATTTGGTTTGTTTGTTCTGTTTTTCTTTCTTGCTTTCCATTGGTATTGCTTGTTCAGTTCAACCAGTTCTAACTTAAAATAAAAACATCATTTAAACCTGCACAACTTTTATTGAACTGCCTATTTTGAAAAAGTTTAGCCATGCAAGCTGGATCCAAACGTTCAGAAATATAATTTAAATTTGAATATCTTAAAAATAATAATAAACTTATTACTGTTTCATATCTAAAATTTTAAAAAGGGTTATTAAATCTAGATTTGCTTAATTATGTTTACTCGTATACTTGTCTTATGTTTTGTCCAGCATGCTACCAACTTGGCTTTCAAGTAAATGAGTACTTACAAAATGCATTTATTTAACTTTAATAATTAATAATAATATAAAAATATATCTTTAAAACTGTCCACATAGATTTCATTAAATGTTATAAAATTACAAGTCTAGCCAAGACCAGGATAATCTGTTTATATAAATGCTATTGCTATAAGTATGACTAATTTAAAACTGCTGGTTCCAAATCACTAAACCTTCCAAATTATCAGTAAAATGCTAAACACTGATTGGCCAGAAAATAGTTTTCATAAGTAATTAAGCAAGTTGCATAAAATATACATATATAATTTATATATAATATAATATATTTATATAAAAGAATGTTTAGCTGTGAATTCTTCCTGCAATTTTTTTTTTTTTTTTTTTTTGAGTTGGAGTCTCACTCTGTCACCTAGACTGGAATGCAGTGGCTGCTCCCGGCCACCACAGCCTTGACCCGCTGGGCTCTGGCGATCCTTCCGCCTCAGCCTTTCAAGTAACTGGAAATACAGGTGTGCGTTACCCCGCCCGGCGGATTTTTTGATTTATTGTAGAGATGTGGTCTCACCAAGTTGCCCAGGTGGGTCTCCAACCTGCGGGCTCAGGCAGTCCACTCACCTCAGCCTCCCAAAGTGCGGAATTACAGTCTGAGCTACCAAGCCCGGCTGCAATTTTTTAAATGTCAAAATTATTTCAAAGGTTCATTAAGTGTCTGAGTTATGTTAAGTTAAAAAAAAGGAGCTACAATACCAAGAAAAAAAAAATACAAGGACAATAGAGTCCAAGCATGTCATCATCAATGATATGTAAAAATCAAGATAAGTATCACAAATGGAAATTTATCAAGAAAAAAACTTGGTATGTAATCAAATTAGTTTTTAATTTTTTCTCCTGTTCTAACTGCTGTTATGACATAAAAGATAGTGCCAATTTGTTAACAGCCATCTGTAATTGCTGACAGTTAACTGTAATTTTAATTTGTTTTTCCACCCAAACTTGCAAGTGCTCTAATAAATTTTATTTCCAACTTTACCATGTGCTAACACATTAATGTTAAATAACAGTACTGTTTGTTATATCAGGCTTGCTAAAGTTGTATTTTTTTTTTTTTTGAGTTGGAGTCTCACACAATCACCCAGGCTGGAGGGCAGTGGCATGCTCCTGACCTCCACAGCCTCTACCTGCTGGGCTCAGGTGATCCTTCTGCCTCAGTCTTCCAAGTAGCTGGAACTACAGGCATGCACCACCATTCCCAGCTAATTTTTTAATTTACTGTAGAGGTGAGGTCTCACCAAACTGCTCAGACTGGTCTTGAACCCGTGGGCTCATGCTATCCTCTCACCTTGGCCTCTTGTAAAGTTGTATGTTATGAACAAAAAAAAAATCACTTGTTGTGCCTAATTAGCACCCTCTTATGAAACAGAAAAGCTTTAAATGCTAACCACCTTCCATAACATGATAAGGTTTAAAAAACTGGCCTGCACCTAGTACATCTGCCAGATAGATGGGTACTTTATGTGAGCACAGTAAAAATGAGAACTGAACACTCTCACCTAGTAGCTGCATTGCAGTTCTAGTTGTAAGGTGTGAACAATATGTGCCTTGCAACTAAAACTATAATTTAGTAATTTTTAAAGGTTTTTAACAACTTTGCCCATTCATAATTATAAATAAGTAAGGACAGGTCATTACACATCCATGTGATCTGTTCACTCTAGGGCTTTGCATCAGACTGTCACAAAAAGAGAAATGGTTAAAAATTTTCATATGTATAGCCTTTTAAAAAATGAACTTCTAAGTTTTTTCAGCTAAAACAAAACAGTGCCAACATGGAGGGCAGCAGAACCAGAGGGACAAAGAGGCACCACAATTGGCAGTCACAATTAACAACCAAAGCTCCCAGTGCCCACCAAAAACCTGGTAAAAAACAAATATACTAAGGGGATAGTGTCCTTCGCTTATGGGTACAGTCTGTGGGGACACTGTAAATATAACCTCCTGGACCTTGTCTACTGTACAAGCCATTAAGCCATTGGGAAGCAGGTTCATTTTCTTCTGAAAATAGAGAACACTTGGCATAAAAATAATTGCCTGCAAACCTGCTAAACTGCCTGGTACTGGCTCACCATCACCCCAACACCCCCCAGGTAAGCCAGGATGCTGGATCCCAAATTAATTTTTATTTAACACAGGAGTCAGCCTTTTGGTCCTGACCATTCATTTTGAAATCATATAGTTTTATCCAAAAGAATTTTACCCTCTACACATCAGAGGGGAAAGAAATAGCCTTGGGACTGCTAGGACAAAAGTATGGTGTAGCCCAAGGACTATAGTATGGCCCAGCCCAAGGACTAAATTAAGGTCAGGATATAAAGACAGTAACATACTCATCTAAACAATTGGACAGTAAAAGGGTAGCCATCTTGCCTTTGCCCCCTAGCAACCACTGCTATGCTAACTTAAAACCGAATGAAATTACTTGTATGTTGTCTATATTTTTGTTCTATAATAAAATAACTGGGTATTTTACCAAAAAAAGGGACTGTATTTTCTATTAAATAATTTGCTATACATAATTTACAAAAAGTATTTCAACTTACATTAATAAATCAAAGGCACTGGGCTCGGTGGCTCAGCTGTAATCCTGTACTTTGGGATACTGGCCTGGGACAAGCTATATACATAAGGTTACTATTCCTCCATGGTGCCTTACTCACCATTCGGTGGCAAACAATCACCTATAAAACTATGACCAAACCAATAGGTCTATTGGCAGATATAAAAGATCCCCTGTTTGGTTGCCACCAGCCTCTGCCTGTTTTTGCCATCTGCCAACCAAGCCACTACCCTGGGTTCACCTTAACTCCTGAGTTCATCTCAACCACTTCCAAAACTGGCCCACCAATCCCCTAGTTTTTTCATATGTTAATTAATATACACCAGATGCCTGATGCCATTATTCCCCAGTTGGCCTCAGAACGCTGGTTCTGCTTAAAACCAAAACCCCCATATTATGTGGGCCTAGAAGTTGAAACTCCTATCATCAGCAACACAGAGAAAAGTAAATGATCTCCAGGAATGGTTCACATTACTCTATGTGACAGAACCGGTAAATCATCCTGCTTTATAACTCCAGATTTTAATCTAACAACTTCTCCAGTCTCTGATATTTGTAACTTATCCCTCACCCTAACCATGGCCGAATCCATGGCCTATGCGGCCCCTGCCAACACCTGGTTAGCTAGTTCTACAGGCCTTACAAAATGTGCTACTACCAAAAGCTTAATTAATCAGTCTACTTTATATATTACTGTTCATGTGCTACCTCAGGTTTATGCTTATAACAGTACCAAAGGAGCTCTTCTACTCAATCCCCCTTGTCTTCCAATTTCTTGTTGAAAACACACCTAGTACCTGCCTTAGTCGGACTAAGTCTAGCAGGAACAGCTGAAACCGGCACTGCTGCTCTGGTTTGTGGAGACTTGGGTCTGTCTAACCTTGCCCAAGAATTTGATGCTGACCTAAGTAACCTACAGTTTGCCATGGACAAACTCCATGAACAGGTAAAATCCCTTGCTAAAGTTGTCCTCCAAAATCATAAAGGACTAGACTTACCTTTTCTATCCCAAGGGGGACTCTGTGTAGCCCTTGAAGAAGCTTGTTGCTTCTATACCAACAAATCAAGGGGTATTAATATTAAGATTATTATTATGAGCCGGGCTCGGTGGATCAGCCTGTAATCCTCCCTTTGGGAGGCTGAGGTGAGTGGATTGCCCGAGCCCACGAGTTTGAGACTCGCCTGGGAAACTTGGTGAGACCTCATCTCTACAATAAATCAAAAAATCAGCCGGGCGTGGTAGCGCATGCCTGTAATTCTGGCTACTTGGAAGGCTGAGGCGGAAGGATCACCAGAGTCCAGCAGGTCAAAGCTGCAGTGGCTGGGAGTGGCCACTGCACTCCAGTCTGGACGACGGTGTGAGACTCCAACTCAAAAAAAGGACTATTATTATGATTCATTTACTTAGTTAAAATTGTGGGGCATAATTCAGGGCTAGGTATAAAAATATTCACCGTGAGGGTACCTTTATCAATGTGGTGTGACCCCCTTTCCCAGGCAGATATCTACTACTGTGAATCACAGCTCCCCACCCCCTTATCCCCTCCCCATAGTTTCCTGCCACTTTCAATCCTTTTATTATAGTAATATGTAGTTGTTCAAGGTCCACTTTTGGGTGAGAACATGAGTCAACACATTGACTCATAAACAACTAAAAGGAGGGAATAGAATATCTATCTGCAAAACCTATAATAGCATGTAATAACTTGCTTGACATAAGTAACTCCACTTTGTAACAGATCCTCCATATTAACCTAAAAATAACCTCCTTCTGTAACCTTCCCATAATCACACCGCACACCCACATACCTATTTCCTCAGTGATTGAAACTCCCTAGTTGCACAAATTCTATAACCATCCATACCCCTTCATAATCGAATGTATTGCCAAGAAATATTAATGAAACATAAAACAAGCTGATATGACAACTAGAATTATGCAATAAGATAATTTGTAACACAGAAATATCCTCTAATGCATTGAGTCTGAGAAAAAAAATGAAATAAAATATACTCAGTGTAGAAACTCTTTTTCTTTTGAGACCCACCTGGGCAACTTGGCTAGACCTCATCTCTACAATAAATCAAAAAATCAACCGGATGTGGTAGCGCATGCCTGAATTATACAGCATAAATTTGGACACTAACAGATATTTACATTTTTTAGTGCTATGTTTACCTCACACAAAATAAGTTGCAAATACTGCTCAGATGGAAAACTCCTAGTGAATTGGAAGGCCCGCATCAAATTTTATTATATACAACAATGAATTGAGCTGGGCTCGGTGGCTCAGCCTGTAATCCCGAGCTTTGGGAGGCTGAGGTGAGTGGATTGCCTGAGCCCACGGGTTCGAGACCCACCTGGGCAACTTGGCAAGACCTCATCTCTACAATAAATCAAAAACCAGCTGGGCATGATAGTGCACACCTGTAGTTCCAGCTCCTTGGAAGGCTGAGGCAGAAGGATCACCGAAGCCCAGTGGGTCGAGGCTGCAGTGGCCGGGAGCAGCCACTGCACTCCAGTCTGGGTGACAGACTGAGACTCCAACTCAAAAAAAAACCAAAAAAAGTGACATTCCTTCTGACCTGGGACACATTTACCTGAGAAGCAGTCATTTTTTCCCTTTTCCTCCTACTTCTCTGATATTTTTTCAGGTGAGATTATCTAATCAAGTCACACCTACATGCTGAAAATATGCCTTTATTTATTTCAAAATTAAATTGAAGCCGGGCTCGGTAGCTCTGCTTGTAATCCTGCACTTTGGGAGGCTGAGGTGAGTGGATTGCCTGAGCCCGCGGGTTCGAGACCCGCCGGGGCAAGTTGGCGAGCGCTCATCTCTACAATAAATCAAAAAAATTAGCCAGATGTGGTAGCGCGTGCCTGTAGTTCCAGCTACTTGGAAGGCTGAGGCAGAAGGATCACCGGAGCCCAACAGGTCGAGGCTGCAGTGGTTGGGTGCTGCCACCACACTCCAGTATGGGTGACAGAGTGAGACTCCAACTCAAAAAAAAAAAAATTACATTGAATGTATTTTTTTTTGTCAGAGTCTTACTACCCTCTCAGAAGCCCCATCACTTACTCTCCTGTGTGCCTGAGGTTCTCTTTTACGTGTGGATTCTTCCCCCATCTCCATGATGTGGACTTATGTTGTCCTTTGGGATAGTTTTTCTTCCTTCACAATTACAAGATCATCCAGAGAACAGAAATAATTTCTGACTTTTCCCCTCAAGAACAATGATGTGCCTAAAAATGCACAGAAACCAGTCTCCGAACTAAAACAGATTTCTTGAAAATTGCGAAATAAATAAAACTTAGACTTAACCTCAAATGGGACAGTCAACTGTTAAAAGTCTGACATAACTCTATTTTAGACAGAGGGGGGAACTCTGGTCTCTTTGCCAGCTTACACATAGATAAAATAGTTTTGAAATGCTGAAAACATGAAATAGACACAAGAATGCAGTCCCTCATACTAAGTCTGGAAAAGGGGGAGTATGTGCGCTAACTCTGTTTTGTTAAATAAAGGAACAGGGAGACAGTAAACCAAGGAGAAAGAGAATTCACCACTTTCCAGGACTCCTCTCATTGCCCAGATGTCTGCAAGTCTAAGTCACCTCTTGATCTCGGCCCCCCTCTGCTCCCCAGCCTAGGATAAAAATCAAAAAAAGCACACACGACTCAGGAGGGTTCTTTAGGATGCTGGCACCTCATCTCCTCGATTTTAGTGTCCCTACAAAATAAAGTCACATTCTCTGCTCCAATTCCGTGTCTCGACAGAACCGGGTCTGGACAAAAGGCCAATGACCCGCATGACAGACCTTGGAGATTGTCACCTAGATAATCCATATAAGGCAACTGAGAGGCTGTCACCCACCAGCAACTGCCCATGGTTCGGAGCAGACAGGAAGGCCGGTTTCGCCACTACTGGGCCATCCGTGTCCATCCGCCCTCCCCTTTCCGCATCCGCCCCCGTACCCACCATCTCCCGCATTCCGGGTGTCCCGGCATCCACCATACTGACTCCCCGATACTGCAGGTCACAAGGTGACAGAGGCTGAAGCGAAGATATATGACACGCATGGGTCCCAACGAAGAGGACAAAGCTGAGAGGATGACCCAGCTCTGTGAGCCGCGCAGGAGACGAAGCCGCTTCCTCACTTCCGGTTCCCATCTGATTGGCTAGTTCAGACGTCAGCGTTTGTTGATTGTATAAGACTCCAGCCCCCACCCTTTTTCTCGTGAGTGACAGGAGATGCGATCAGACCCAGCTGCGTGAGGCAAGAAAAGGTTGAGATTTCTTCCAGCACCGAAATGTGACGGGGAGGTGTAGGGGTGTGGCCGCTCGCAGGGCATGCTGAGAACGCTGGCGTCTAAATGTCTTCTGGTCGGTAGGTCCCGGAGCTGCGTGAGTACGATCGCAGTGTGTCCCGGGAGAGGTGGTGTCATCCTACAGTCCAGCGACCCGCCGACCCGGAGCGATGAAGATTCCCATCATGCCCCGAGAGGGGACCACAACCTTACTCCTCCCCTCCTTCCACCCAGACTATGGGGCAAGGAGAACTTTAAATGCGCTTTTGTCTCTAGAGTCCCTCCCGTTTTTTATCTCTTGTCAGTCAAGACCAGAAGGGCGGGGCCTGGAGTCTTGTCCAATCAATGGATGCTGAGGTCTGAACTGACCAATCAGATGACAGCCCGAAATGAGTGGGCATCTTTTGGGTTCTGATCAGGCCTTCCTCGCCTGCGCCTGCGCACCGAACTGGGTTGTGTTCTCAGCTTTGACCTGCTCTCCTACATCCATGCGTGTGGCAAGTCTTTGCTTCAGCCTCTGTCGCCTTGTGACCTGCAGGTCGTGGGAGTCTGTGGGGAGGACGCCTGGACACCCAGAAGCCGGGAGATGGTGAGTATGCTGGGGGTGTCCCGAGAGGGGACGGGATAGACCCGCATCCCCCTCATCCCCGAGCCTGCACCTCTCCCTGCTGGCTGCTCAGCATGGTCCCCTCGGTGTAGGTGAGGATAGGCCGGGATCCCGAGACCTTGTCCTGTGGCGACCTCACCAGTTTAGCCTTCCCCACACAGACCCTCTCCACGTGTTTGTGACCCACAAGGGTCGTGGGGAGGATCCGACCTGCGTGCAGTGCCCGTGGGGGTTTTGGGGGGGAGGTCTGGGTCTTGACCCCTCGCTCTCCTCTCCAAGGTTACTCGTAGCCTCCCTGACAACGTTAAGGGACAATTTCTCTCATTATGGCTGTGAAAAGCAGTACATTTTCACCTAAAAGTGTGATCGAGTCATTGTTGAATCTCGCAGGTGTATGCAAACATCCATTTCTTTTTTGTTTTTCTTAAGTAAGTGTCTCACTCCATCGCCCAGGCTGGAATCCAGTGGTACACTCACAGCCACCCCCGCGTCAACCTGCTGGACTCTGGCCATCCTAAAACCTGAGCCTTCCAAGTAGCGGAAACGACAGGCGTGCACTACCACACCTGGCTAATTTTTCATTTTATTGTAGAGACGCGGTCTCACCAAGTTGTCTGCGCTGGTCTGGAACCCACAGGAGCAGGCAATTTACTCCCGTCGAACTCCGAAAGTGCTGGGATTACAGGCTGAGCCACCGATCCCGGCCCCATTACTTTTTGTTGGAAGAGTGAAGAATTCTGTTATCTGGATTAGGGTTTTATGGTAAATTTTATGAGAAAAGCTTGGCAACTACAAGAAGTATTCACACATGGTTGTTTACAAAATGACTTGTTATCATGGAAGAGATATTTACATGTTTATTTTCTGAAAGAAATACACATTTTTCTGATGTTGTTAAGGTTAGTAAGGTATCTTACAAGTGTTTGCCCTTCATAAGCATGAACACTGAGTTAAAGAGATTTTGCACTGAGTGTTTTCTCATTTGTATCTAACTGAGCAAAATTAACCAGGTCTGATGATTCCAAGTCACAGTCAGTCATGATCCTGCAAAAGAAAGTCTTTAAGGCCCAGTAAGTTCTTCCAGGGGAGACTCTTCTACATGTGTGCCCATGTTTACAGCAGTCATGGAAGGAGCCCGTGATAGTGAGAGAAGCTGCTGAACTCTGGAAAGCTGTGGGTTTGCAGGGAGATGTGTCCAGGGTTGGGACAGAAATAAAGGATGTGATACTGTTTCAGAAGGTGTAATTTTTACTGTCCTGGGGCTGTTTCTAGACAATGTTACATAAAATAAATTTGAGTTTGGATCAAAATAACTTCATATAAGTGAGTATTACAATAGGGTGGAAACACCCCTTATAGACCTTTAAGCATTTAAACGTTTAGGCAAAAGTGGGTTTTCCTTCAAGGGGAGAAAAACTCAGAAAGAGGGTGAAAAGGAGAGGGCAGGATGAAAGGTGGCACCAGTAGATCTCAGGTCACAGAATTTCTCACTCTGAAGTCAGCCTGCTCTTAGGAGGGACATGAAGAGTGGTTTGTGTTGGCTCAGGCTTAGGGTGGGTTAGAGCTCAGGGATCTGGGAGAAGTAGGAAATCTTAGGGCAGTGCTTGACTTGCATGAGTTTTGTTCAGACTGCTGAAGACAAAACTGTTTATCTAGTTGTCTATGAGGCAGAAAATGGAAAAATGTAGTGTCTCTGAGTGGCTTTGGGGTAGGGAAAAGGCAGAACATCACTTAAGTCTTAATGGGAAAGAGGATTCTTTGCCACAAGGTGCTCTTGCAGAATATGAATGATGGGGCATTTTCAATCACAGCTGTTTATCAGAATTCCCTCCCCACCCACATTCCCTGCCACTGACCCTAGCCTTATGCTTCTTTTTCAGTTGGCTGTTTCTGAGTTGTAATCTTTATAATAAACTGGGCAGCATAAGTGAAATACTTTGCAGAGTTCTGTGAGTATTCCATCAAGTTATTGGACTGGAGGAAGGGTTTGGGGAGCCCCTGATTTATAGGCAGTTGCTCAGAAGCACCTGGTAAGTGGCATTGTCAGAGTGGGCAATTTTATCTGACAGAGCCTTGAACTTGGGGGTTTGTGCTAACTCTGGATGGTGAAAGAATTGAATTGTTGGGCAAACAACTGGTGTTGGAGACTGGTGTCCAGCAAACTTTATACATTTGGGGTCAGAAAAAAGACATCACAGTTTAAAATTTTAGACTATTTCAGGTGAATATTTGGTCCCTGGTGAAAATGGAGACCCTGGAAGGTGGAGGAATATCATAATGTGAGCAAGGGACAATAGAGTGTGTTGAGGGCCAAGAATTAAACTCTCAAGTGGTCAGGTTTTTCTCAGTCATTGCCTGGTAGTGAACCCTCCTGGGCTGCATCTCACAGCAAGATTGATTCCCAAGCTTGGGAACATGATGAACCTACTGCTTGTGCAGTTCCTTGTGGAATGTGGGTGAAAAAGCCTTTCTTTATGAAATCTTCCTGTGATTTCATTCCAGTTTCTACAAGCATGTAAGAATTTTATTCCATCATTTCAATACAATATGTTTATTTTACTTAGTTGAAAGTTTGAGTGCATTGAGTGATGTGATCTACAAAAGCAAGATAATACTTTCCCTTTTTTTGAGTTAGAGTCTCACTCTCTTGCCCAGGCTTGAGTGCAGTAACACACTCACTGCCACCCCAGTGTTGATCTGCTGAGATCCAGTGATCCTTCCACCTCAGCCTTTCAAGTAGCTGGAACGACAGGCAGGTGCCACCATGTCCAGTTAATTTTTTTAATTTATTGTAGAGAGGAGGGCTCTCCGAGGTTCTGAGGTTGGTCTTGAACCCACGGGCTCAGGTGATCCATTTGCCACGGCCTCCCAAGAATGGACAATAATGCTTTCAATAAATTATTTTTTTTAATGCTGAATTAAGTAATAAGAATATATAACTCTCCATGGGCCAAGAATGAATATACCCAGATGGGATTGGCTCCAGTTTCCTGTTACTTGGGTAAATAATGAGGAGTATGTCTTGAGAAACACAGTGGTAGATAACATATTTACCTCCATATTACAAAGCCACTAGGAAAAACAGATAAAGTGGTCAGGGTCCCTGCACTCCAGAAACTTCCATCTGTTGTAAAAGGGTAAATAGATGAATTAGCACCATGTAGTCAATACAAAGAAGGGAAGTTTTCAGGGTACTTGGCATTTTGTTGTTGTGAGTTCTGATATTACTGCTTTTTTTTTTTTTTTTAATTGGAGTCTCACTTTGTCACCCAGCCTGGAGTGCAGTGGCATGCTTCTGGCCATGACCACCTCAACCTGCTGGACTCCAATGATCCTTCCATCTCAGGATTCCAAGTAACTGGAACTAGAGGCACATGCTACCATGCCTGGCTCATTTTTAATTTTTATTGTAGAGACGAGATCTTGCCAAATTGTGCGGGCAAGTCTCGAACCCACAGCCTCCGGCAATCCACTTGCCTCAGCCTCACAAAGTGCTGGGATTACAGATTGAGCCACCGAGTCAGGCTGATATTACCTTTTAAGAAAGCATTCACAGAATTGTTTTTGTTTCATTATTATTATTTCTGTTTGTTTTTCCTTGTGAAAAATAGCCATTTTTTGTTTCCTTTTTCTGTTGTTTTGTCTGTCGTGTCCAGCCAGGAGGGCAGTGGGATACTCATGGCCCCCACAGTCATGACCTGCTGGTCACAGGCAATTCTTCCACCTCAACTTTCCAAGTAGGTGGAATTAGAGCCATGTGCCACCATGCCCAGTTAATTTTTTTATTTGTTGCAGAAATGAGGTATTGCCAGTTTGCTCAGACTGGTCTGGAAACCCTGGGCCCGGGTAATCCTCTCACCTCAGCCTCCCAAAGTACTGGGTTTATGGACATGAACCACAGTACCCAGCTAGCCCCCACATGATTCTAACATGAAGTCATTGTGAAGCTGAGGGTTGCCAGATATGTTCATGAAAGTTCAGAAAAAAGGTCACCTGTCATGCTCTGCTTGGATTTGGTCAGTCAGTAAGACAGTGGGGCCAAATATTCATTGCTATAGCAGAAATTGACAGTGTTTGCAGCAAGGGAGGGCACTTGGGAGTAAGAAAAGAATAAAGTCACATTTTGGACTCCATGTAGGAGCTCATTGTTTTTGACTTTGTCTCCTGTGACAAAAGACAGAGAAAGGTGGACTTTTTCTCTCTTTCTGGGTCCTCCCATGTGTGGGTGGGGTGGTAGCAAGGGAAGAATTGTGCTTATGTTAGGGCTGCACATCATCTGGCTGCACATGATAGCTTATGCAAGCAATCCCATCACTTAGGGAGGCTGAGCCCAGGAGTTTGAGACCAACTTCTACAACATAGCATACTCATGTCACTACAAAAATAATTAGCTATAACCTGTAGTTCCAGTTAACTTGGAGGCTAAAATGGAAGGATTGCTTGAGCCCAGGAGTTCAAGGTTGTGGTGAGTAATGATGGTGCCACCTCACTACTGACTGAGAGGTGAGTAGCAGAGTGAGATTCTAACAAAAAATACATTCAATTTAATTTTGAAAGAAAGGCATATTTTCCGGTTGTAGGTGTGACCTGTCCAGATCATCTCACCTGATAAAAAATCCCAGAGGGCCAGGCTAAGTGACTCAATCCTAGCACTTTGGAAGGCCAAGGCAAGTGAACTGCATTAATTTGCAGGATCAAGACCAGACCGAGCAACTTGGTGAGACCTCTCCTCTACAATACATCAAAAATTAGCTGGGTGTGGTAGTGTGTGACTGTAGTTACAGCTACTTGGAAGGCTGAGGCAGAAGGATTACCAGACCCCAGCAGGTCAACACTGGGGTGGCCATGATGGAGTGATTCCAGAGAAGTAGGAGAAAAAGGAAAAGAATGGCTGGCTCTCAGGTGTTTCCAGGTTAAAATAAATGTCATTTTTAAGACTTGCAGACATTTACTGCTACTTGTGATGGTCCTGCCTAATGATTATGCTTCAACTATTTTTGCTCTTCCTGTGATATTCAAGGGCTCTGAAGGACACATCTCCCTACACACCAGAGCCCCCTCTGTTATAAGCATCCATGCTGCTTAGTTGCCATGAGCTGTTCTCTCCATTAATGCACGACCTGCTGTATTAAAAACGTTCCCTTGTGACTGAGGAACATGGGAAGTTGGTGTGGATACCCAAGATTCCCATTGGAAATGGAGTAGATCCTCAGGTACTAGTGAAGGATGGGAACATGAATGGTTAAGATTTCATATGATGCTCCATCAACTCAATGGAGAGCACGGTTAATAAAATACACATTTGCAGCCGGGCGTGTAGCGCATGCCTGTAATTCCAGCTACTTGGAAGGCTGAGGTGGAAGGATCGCCGGAGCCCAGCAGGTCGAGGCTGCGGTGGCTGGGAATGGCCACTGCACTCCAGTCTGGGCGACAGAGTGAGACTCCAACTCAAAAAAATAAAAATAAAAAATACACATTTGCACAGGATGGTATTTACTGCCCAGAAACTCAGGAAGGTCTGAATAAAGAATAATTAGAAGACACTTGCTCTCCAGGATGCCAAAAACAAACAATATAAATATACTTAGAGATTACATACCATGGGAAATACCTGTATGCAGATTTCTGCCTAAAACATATTTCTTTATTATTAAATTGTGATTATAATTTACTGTATTTTGGCCTATAATATCTCAGCATGGATGTTGTGTTGCACCTGTGTGCCTTGGCACCCGATACCAATTTATCCCAGCTAATTGGGAGGCTGCAGAGAAGGCATTCTTTCAGGCCAGGAGTTTGAGGGTGCAATGAATTGTGATTGTGCCACTGCACCCCAGAATGGGTAACACAATGAGACCCCCACACTGAAAAAAAGTGCAGAAGCTCAGGCTAACCCCACATCTCCTGTATCAGAATTTGCATTTTAAGATAATATTCAGTTCATGGTTGTACACATTAAAACTTCATGAGGACCTTCCAACGTACTATGAGTTTTTTATCTGAGCAGTATATGCAACTTATTCTGTGTGATGCAACTATAGCACTCAAAAATGTACATGCCTTTCTTCGTGTTCAGATTTATGCTGTATTGTTCACAAAAATAGCATCTACACTGGCTGAGTGGATTCTATTTCATCCTTTTTTCTCAGATTTCATGCATTAGAGAATATTTCTGTGTTGCAAAATATTTTACTGCATAATTTTAGTTGTCAAGTCAGTTGGATTCTGTTTTCTTTACTCTCTTGTTTCCTAGAGTTCACTGCCACTTGATAAATATATGTTGTTGCTCTTGTTTTCTGGGGCTGTTGACATTCAGGAATGTGGCCATAGAATCCTCTCCAGAGAAGTGGGAATGCCTGGACCCCTCTCAGCAGATATTGTACAGTAAAGTGATGTTAGAGAACCACGGGAACCTGGTTTTTCTGGGTGAGGATATTTGACACACAATCCCTATTTCATACTAAGGATTTCATATCCTTCCTTTGTAGAATGTTTTCTGGGAATTTCTGCTTTGCAGGAATGAGTTTCAGATTTCTGCTATCAAAGAAAAGTTGGTGATTTGTTAACATAGAAAAAGGAAAATTAAAGATGTTTCATTTTGACAACCATTCTGTCTTTTGAACTGACCTGTGTCCTTCTATATTAGTAGTCAGTCCAGGAATTTAGTGGCATAGGATATCATTGCCCACACCTGCAATCCAGAGACTACTATAAGGTTTTGGCTCACTAGTACTGAACTAAGAACTCACAAATATGACATTCTGTCTAAATGTTCTAAAGGTTCTGTTGAAAAACACAGATTAATTTTCTAGAATCTTTTATAATGTGTATTCCAATGAGGATAGTACTAGGTTTGTAATTGAAAATTTCCAGCAGGAGTCATGCTATTTTTTTCTAATAAAGCAGGCCTTACTGTCTCTAAGCCAGACCTGATCACTAGTCTGGAGGAAAGGAAAGAACCCTGGAATGTGAAGAGACACAGCACATTAGCCAAACCACCAGGTAGGTCTGCATCAATGAAGCAGATCTTGAAGAATGGTTTGGGAACGTGGTCTGCTCCAGTGGAAATGGTTTCTGAGAAGCCTGGCATTCTTTCTTTTGTTGGCACAAATGGACATCTGTTCCATGCTCTGAAACTCTCCAAAAATCTGCTTCTCTTTCAACGATCTCCATTTCTTTTTTTGAATTGGAGTCTCACTTTTTCGCCCAGACTGGAGGGCAGTGGCACACTGCCGGCCACTGCAGCCTCGACCTGCTGGGATCTGGCAATCCTTCCGCCTCAGCTTTCCAAGTAGCCAGAACTACAGGTGTGCATTGCCACACCTGGCTATTTTTTTTTTTTTTTTTAATTGTGGAGATGTCTCGCCAAATTGCCTGGGCAGATCTCGAACCTGCGGGCTCAGGCAATCCACTTTCCTCAGCCTACCAAAGAACAGGATTACAGACTGAGCCTCAGAACCCTGCCAAAAGTTACACTCAAAATCAAAGTCCTCTTAATGGTTTGTAAGGGACTGCATTTCTGTTGCTTTTGGAAATGTCCTATCCGCTTATTTAGAAAATCCATGTTCAACTGTTTTTTTAATTCTCTTTTTTTGTCATGTTGGAAATATTTGAGAATAGTGGTGATTTTATTATTTGATTGAGAAATTTTGAAAACTGCAGAGAGATGTTATAGTTTTCTTTTCTTTTTTTTTTTTTTTTTGAGTTGGAGTCTCACTCTGTCACCCAGACTGGAGTGCAGTCATACTTTTTATTTTAAAATTGTGTGGAACAGTTAAGTGTTAGGTATACAAATATGCATTGTGCAGGAACCCTTGTTGATGAGGTGTGCCCCCCATCCACAGACAGATATCAACTACTGTTAATCCCACCTCCCTACCCCCCCATATTTTCCCACCACTGTCAATCCTTTTCTTATCGTATTATGATAGTTGTTCAAGGTCCACTTATGAGTGAGAACATGTGATACTCAGATCTTTGTTTCTCTGAGAGATCACTCGGTATTATAAACTCCAGTTCCATCCAAGTTGCTGTGAAATTCATGATTTTGTTCTTTTTTATGACTGCGTAATATTACATTGTATATATGTACCTTTTTTTTTTTGAGTTGGAGTCTCACTCTGTCACCCAGACTGCAGTGCTGTGGCCACTCCCAACCACTGAAGCCTCAATCTGCTGGGCTCTGGTGATCCTTCCACCTCAGCCTTCCAAGTAGCTGGAACTACAGGCAATGCGCTACCACACCTGGCTAATTTTTTGATTTATTGTAGAGATAAGGTCTCATCAAGTTGCCCAGATGTGTCTCAAACCTGCGGGCTCAGGCAATTCACTCAACTCAGCCTCTGAAGGCGTGGGATGACAGGCTGAGCCACTGAGCCCAGCTCAATTTTTTGATCCAGTCTTCTTTTGATGGACAACATGGTTGGTTCCATGATCTTGCTATTGTAAACAATGCTGGAATAAACATATGTGTACAGCTATCTTTTTTATAGAGTGATTTGAGTTCTTCAGGGTATATTCCCAGTAGGGGGATTGTGGAGTCATATGGAAGGTTAATTTTTAGAGCTTTTAGGAATCGCCACTGATTTCCACCAGAGGCTGCGCTAGTTTATACTCCCACCAACAGTATAGAAGTGTTCCCGTTTCATCACATCCTCTCCAGCATCTGTTATTTTTTGAGTTATTGATAATGGCCATTCTGACTGGAGTTAGATGGTATCTCAGTGTGGTTTTAATTTGCATTTCCTTGATGATTAGTGAGGTTGAACATTTCTTCATGTGTCTGTTGGCTGCTTGTATGTCTTCTTTTGAGAAGTGTCTGTTCATATCTTTTGCTCACTTTGTAATGGGGCTGTTTGTTTTTTTCTTTTCAGCACATTTGAGTTCCTTGTAGATCCAAGATGTTAGGCCTTTGTCAGACATGGAGTTGGCAAATACTTTTTCCCACTCTGTGGGCAGTCTCCCTGCTCTGCTGATGGTTTCTTGGGCTTTGCAGAAGCTTGTCAGTTTAATGATGTACCACTTGTCTATCTTATATCTTATGGCCTATGCATTTTGGATTTTGTTCAGGAATTGGATGCCAGTTCCAATTTCCATAAAAGTGTGTCCTGCATTTTCTAAAGTTCTTAAGGTTTGAGGTTTTACATTTAGGTCTCTGATCCATTTAGAGTTAATTTTTGTGTATGGGGATAGATAGGGGTCTTGTTTGAGTGTTCTGCATGTGGTCAGCCAGTTTTCCAAGCACGATTTACTGAATAGGTTCTCCACTTCCCAGTGGTAGGTAGTGGAGGCTTTGTCAAAGATGAGTTGGTTGAGAAATTGAGGTTTTGCTTCTGGAATCTCAGTTCTATATGCCTGTTCCATTGGTCTATATGCCTGTTCCTGTAAGAATACCAAGCTGTTTTATTATAGCTTTATAAAAAAGTTTGAAGTCTGGCAACATGATACCTCCTGCTCTGTTTTTTGTTTTTGTTTTTTTTTGTTCTTGTTGTTTTGTTTTGTTTTGCTTTTGCTGAGGATTGTTCTGGCTATTCTTGGTTGTTTGTGTTTCCATATGAATTCCTGTATTGTTTTTTCTATGTCTAAGAAGAATGCTGCTGGTAATTTGATGGGTATTGCATTAAATCTGTAGATTGCCTTAGGTAAGATGGACATCTTCACAATGTTGATTCCTCTAATCCATGATCATGGGATATTTTTCCACTTGTTTGGGTCATCTTTGATTTCTTTGAAGGTGTTATAAGTTTTCTGCTAACCCTAACCCTAGGGAGGTTTCCATGTAATTTTATAGAAATTCATACTCCATAATTCTACAGGGACAGAGAGTATGTGTCTAGATAGAAGACACCCTAATATTATTTTGCTTTAATCTTTCTTTTTCAGTATTAACTGATATTGGTCATTTAACCTTTATATGTCCAAATTTCTTAATATACTGTATTACGTAGAACATTGATGAATGTATATTAAACTCCCATGTTATCTTTTTCACAATAACTCTCATCTTATTATTTTTTTTAGTATGAAGCTAGGACTAGGTTACATATATGCACATAAACATACATACCTATACACGTGTTTATGTGTTCAATATCTGATTTTTATATATAAATAATCATATAACCATATTTTTTGTGTATAATGTAATTTGATGTGCTTATACATTGTGAAACAATGACTACAATTAAATTAATGAATATATCAGTCATGTTACATAGTTTCCATTTTTATTTTTTGTAACAAGAACACTAATGTCTATTATTTTGGCAAATTTTTAAATCATACAAGACATTATTCGCCATAATTCACCATGTTAAACATTAGATTTCTAATAATTATAATTGAAATTTTGTAGCCATTGCAATTATCTCCCATTTCCCTACAGGTTGACCCTAATGACCACCACTGTACTCTCTGACTCTGTGAGTGCCAACTTTTTTGATTCCACACATAAGTGAATTGATGCAGTATTTTTGGTGTGTACCTGGCTCACCTCAATTAGCATGTCTTACAGCTTCATCCATGATTGGGAAAAACAGGATTCTTTTTATTTTTATTGTTAAATAATATGCTATTGTGTATATATATATTATATTTTGTTAATACAGTGTCCACATATATTTAGGTTGTTTTCATAGCTTGACCATTTTGAGAAATGCTGTGATGAATGTACGGTGCAAGACATTTTTGAGAAGCTGATTTTATTTCCTTTGCTTATATACCCTAAAAAGGGATTTATATGTTGGATGATAGTTTATTCCTTATGTTTAAAATGATATTCATAATGGTTTTCACTGTGACTACCAATTTGACACTCACCAACCGTATACAGGGTTTCTTTTTCTTCACGTCTTTGTCAACACTTCTCTCTCTTCTGGTTGATATTAGTCATCCTCACAAGTGTAAGATAATATCTCATCATTGTGCAATTTGAAACTGTCCCCCTATTGCTATCATTGAGTGCCATTTCTTATACCTGCTGGCAATTTCTTTGTAATCATTGGAAAAGTAACTATTCATTCTTGGGCTATATTTTAGTAACACGATTATCTTTTTCTTGTTTTTGCCTTTGATTTGTATAATGTTTTTGTAAAGTCTGAATATTAAACTCTCAACAGATAATGTGATCTGCAAATATTTTTTTTTCTTATCCTGTAAGCCTTCTTCCTGTTTACTGTGCAGGAGCTTTTAGTTTGATGCAGGCCAACTTTTTCCTCTAGTCACATAAAACAAAAAATAAATGATTACTAAGACCAATATCATTATCAAAGAGGATTTCCACATCCTTTTTTGTGTGTGGTTTTGTTTCATTTTCTATTCTTTTCTTTTGTTTGAGTTGTGATCTATTTCTGCGACCCAGGCTGGAATGTGGTGGCAAAATCAAGGTTCATTATCACCTTGTGCTTCTTGACCTAGGTGATTATTCCAGCTTAGCCTCCCAAGTACTGGGATTACAGGCTCATGACAACACGCCTGGCAATTTTTTTTTTCCTTAGGCATAGTCTTGGCATACTGTATTGCTTATGTAGGTCTTGGACTGCTGGACTCAGGTGCTGAGATTACAGACATGACCAATCACATTTAGCTAATACTGTCTTATTTATGTTAACATAATGTCCACAAGATTTAACCTTACCATAACACGTAACAAGATTTCTTTTTTTGAGGGTGCCACATTTTCTTTGTCTATTCATTCTTTGAAGGACACTTAGGTTGCTTCCACATTTTGCTTTTTATAAATAATGCTGCCATAAACATGTATGTGCACATATCTTTTTCAGGTTCTGCATTCTATCTTTGTATAGACACAGAGCAATTAGTCTCGTGTTTTTTGTTTTCTTTTTCCTTGAGTTGAAGTATCACTCTGTCGCCCAGACTGGAGTGCAGTGGCACGCTCCTGGCCACTGCAGCCTTGACCTGCTGGGGGCTCCAGCTATCTTTCCTGCCTCAGCCTTCCAAGTAGCTAGAACTACAGGGACATGCTACCATGCCTGGCTAATTTT